CTCAGTTGGTTGGACATCATCCCACAAAGCGAAAAGTCCACAGTTTGATTCCCAGTCAGGGCACATGCCTGGGTTGCAGGTTCAGTCCCCAGTTGGAGCACATACTAGAGGCAATAGATACAAGAGACAACCAATCGATGTTTCCCTCTCACATAGATGTTTGTCTCCTCTTTCTCCCTCCCTCCCCCTGCTCTCTAAAATAAATAAATAAAACCTTTTTAAAAAATCAGGAAATTCCAGAAATAGTCATGTTGCAAACATTTCTATTAAAAGAGATTCTTTTCAATATCATCTCTATCAGCAACATGAAGTATTTTTTTTAACACCTTCTGGATGTAATTTGGAACTATGGAACACTAGAGAGCTTTTGGTGACTTTTGGAGGGGATATTTAGGGCATCATACATTCTTAGAATTATTACATAATAATGGCTTTAGGCACTCCAACGAACAGGTGCGGGTAGAATGTTCAAAAAGTAGCACTTGAAGTGGAAAAGTTTCTTAGGCACTGATTGTCCAAATTACATATCAATAATTCCATGAAAAAAAGTTTAAGAACAGCTAGTAACTTCCAAAAGCTTTTATTATTTACTTTCCAATAAAGACGTGCTTTGATGTCAGGCACGAAATGTCCACAACATAAAAACCTAATCACAGTGTTGAAACAGATGCTTATCAGCCCTGGGAACTGCCAAAAAGGCTATTAAGTGGTTGCTTTCTGAGGGTAGAGTCTCCACCACCCTGTTGGGAGACATGGCACTTTTGTCCTTAGGGAGCTGGGAGCGCGGTGGCAGGAGAATGTAGGTTGGAGGTCCACCAAAAGGGGTGTTTGTAGGAAAGGAGATCTGTTGGTTTACTGATTAGCTCTCCACACATCTGGCTCACACGCTCTCCATCTGGCAGCCGTCGTGATAACCGGCGACTTGGAGGCCATAAAAAACCCATCTGGCTTCTGCTCAACCACTACCGACCGCAACCATGGCAAAGCTGATTCTCCTCGCAGGTGGGTTTGGCATCAGAGAAAGGGCCTTACTCTTTCTTATTGGATTTCCTTTTCTCTCTGCACCTGGCAGCCGTGAAGCAGGCTTCATGGTACATGTCAATCCTTTTCCATTCTTCTTTCCTCATTTCAAGTTTCCCAGAGAATCCTGACACATACCAACCCGTCTACCTCCTGTTCTTTTGATTCTGGTCATATTTCCACCTTCACGTATCCCATGGGCACAGTCCTAACAGAAAAGCTTGTTGTCTCCCGTTGTTTATCTTACTCTCTCATCTCTTGCTGGGTTGTTCTTTTTCTCATTCATTGTCCTGCGCTCCCTCATTTAATTGGTGTTATTTTTATGTACACACTTGTGTGCTTGGTCTAGCTTTTGGGGGTGAAAATTGGTAGGAAGTGAGACAGAGTTAAGCAAGTTATCTTTTTTTCCTAGTGTTTTCAGAATTATTTCTCTTTTATCCCCTACTCTCATACTGAGTTGCTGATATAGCATATAAATGTCATTGTTTGAAATTTGATCATTCAAAGCAATCGACTCCGTAAATTGTTTAGAGCCAAGTTGTATCCACGGTTTATTAGTTGCTCTAGGGCTGTGATTTATATGTTTTTTAGAGCTTCAGAACCTTTTCTAAATGAAACCTCTAGCTCGGTTTACAAAACAGTCAGATCGCAAGTGCTTTCATGGAAGCCAGGGAGAGGGGTGTGGAGTCTGGCCTCACAGCGTCTCATTCTCTTCTATAATAAGGGCTCCTATAAGCTGCTTCCAAAAAAAAAAAAAATTCCAAGGCTCCGGGAGACACTGATTTCCCTGCTTTAGAGAACGCCTTGTCTGTGGAAGGCTGTGCTCGTCCCAGTGCAGGGAGGTGAAGCATGTATGGACGGGTCATCATTCAACAAAGTGCATTTCAGGTCACTTCAGTCAGCGGATCTTCCATAGATAGCAGACTTTGAACTCTGCATTCAGTAACGGTTATTTCTGACATGGGAGGTGGAAGAAGAGAGAGCCATGCTATTTTTGACTGAGAAAAGGGAGGCAAGCAGAACTGTTAGTGACCACACCGAGAAGACTACACTTTGGCATGGCCCCTAAGGGCTGCTGGGGCTGCGACGCCCTATGGCAAGCAGAGGGGCATCCAGGGGCTCGGGATTAGGTTCTACAGGATAGACAACCGGTTTAGAATATGCATTTTCTCTCTTTCTCTCTCTCTAGGTCTGGCCCTTCTGCTGAACGCTCAGCTAGGTAAGTCATGGACTCTGTTTTATCTTTGACATAATCTTTTCCTGCCCTAACACTCAAATTTTTATACATTATTTGTATTGCAGTTGTCTGCTCCTATGTGTGATTTTTAAATATGCCGATAATACTTTTTAAGAAAGTATATAAAGAGATAAGCCATACTAGCGAAAGAGAGCTGCTATCCACTTCATAGACAGATGGGTTTGATGTTGGGAGAACCTAGGGCTTTGTATTGGCAGCACTGCTGTCTTCTTCAGTGTGGTCACCTGGGAGCTTTAAACTGGTGTTCACTGGGTTGCATAGAACTACGGGACATGTCTTCTTCAGTGGACCCAGGCACGTACAAGACCTCGAAGTGAATCTGCCAAAGTTAAAAGTAGCCAAGCCCCAGTCCGTGGCTAGTTCCCAAGTCAGAATCTTTGAACTCATTTGCAGAAGTGTTGGTATGCAGAGGTCAGGCATCTGAGGCACGGGGAGGGGGAGAGAGGTAGGGCCAAGCCCACTTAGCGGCACCTACGCCAGGCTGTTGTTCTCACTCCTTACTTCCCACAGGTTCTGCCTACCAGCTGATATGCTACTTCACCAACTGGGCCCAGTACCGGCCGGGCCTGGGGCGCTTCAAACCTGAGGACATCGACCCCTGCCTCTGTACTCACCTGATCTACGCCTTTGCTGGGATGAGAAACAACGAGATCACCACCATCGAGTGGAATGACCTGACCCTCTACCAGGCTTTCAATGGCCTGAAAAGCAAGTAAGAGAAAGGGGAGATACCTAATTTGGTATCTCTCAGTTCAGTTCTTCCAAACATGATGGGCAAACAAATCATCTGGGGTCTTCCTAAAATGCAGTTCCAACTCAGCAAGTCTGAGTTAGGGACCAAAATTCTGTGTCTCTAACAAGCCCCCATGTGCAGCTGAGGCTTCTGGCCCAGGAGCCCCACTTGAAGTAGCAAGAACAGAGATAACAGAGCACATTGCCTGCTCTAGCAGGTATTCAAAAATATTACTTCCATGTCTTCCTTTCTTTGTCAGTATCTTTTTCATGACCCAGGAAATGGCAAGCCCTCTTAGCTACTTGTATCAGAGAGCAGGAGGCAGAGAATGCTAACAATTAGACATCGTCAAGCCCAAGAAATCAGAAGAGTTTGCTGTATTTGAATAGAGTTCTATTTTGTGTCAAGAAACAAATCCAATGAACAGACAAACACCCTGGTATCTTTCCATTCCTGGTTTTTCAGTTGAGTTATACGTAGGAGAAGTGAGACTACCAGCCATTGCTACCATGAGGAGCAGCGCCATTCATCAATGCAGCTCCTCGAACTTAAGTTATGGTACCAAAGAGGAAATAAACCCCTAGGCAGGGGTGTTTCTTGAAATGTGGTCCATTTGACTACCTGCACTGAAACCACCTCGGGCACTTGATAGCAATGCCAATCCCCACCCCAGTCCAGCTGCCTCAGAATCTCCGGGAAAGGGGCTGTAAACCTGGCGTTTTAACGTTGTCCTCCTGCTCTGACTCTTGCACTTAATACTTATGTAAACTGGCGTTTGAGAACTACTGTTCCAGAGAATGTGTGTCCTTCTCAGCCACACAAAGGCTGAGGAAAGTCTATGCTCAGGCAACATTTACCATTTCACCTGATGGAACTGAGTAGAAGCTAACTGTGCTGATAGGGAGATGGAGAGAAGTAGATATAGATAGCCGTATATAGATACATATTTCAAAAATATTGTCAACTCATTCCTTTAAAAAAAAAAAAAGCTAATTCCATAATTTAGGTTTCCCAAAAGGACACTGAGTAAATTGATGATGGTCCCAACACAAAGAATTTTTATAAACATAATTTTCAATAGAGGAGGAAAATGTTCTATAATATAACATCTCAGGGTAACAAGAAAGTATAAGACCAATGCCAAAGCAATGTTGTTTTCCATAGAGAGGCTTATGGATTTTGAAGTTTCTCTTTCCTACCCTTTGCTTTACAGGAACAGCCAGCTGAAAACTCTCCTCGCCATCGGAGGCTGGAACCTCGGAACTGCCCCGTAAGTCCCTTATGGGAGAGGTCGGTGCTTTTGTTATTGAAGACAAGGTAGCCCCATGTGTCCCGTGTCCCTTCCAATCTCTCAATCTAAGACAGGGTATTAAGGATGCACAGTAAACAAATATGCTGCTTTAATATGTTACTATATCAGAGTCTCAATATTATATAGGACACAATTTACTTTAGACATTTCAATTTGAATGGATATTATATAGGACACAATTTACTTTAGACATTTCAATTTAAATGGATTTCAACATTTCAGCTGAATGGAACTCAACTCTTGTCACCAAGGTTGAGTTAATGAGATTCCAAAGTGATCTCTTAAAGTATTTCAAGAGCACAACCCCTGAGGAAGGTGTTGGAGCAATTTTCTCTACTCACCTTGGGGTCAAGAGGGATGGGAGAGAAAAATCATACAAATGAACCCAACTTCTCTGAGGGCGTATGAACTTAGGGACTATTTGGAGAACGATCACCAAGAGCAGAGGTAGCCATGTGTTCAAAGCAACTGGTGCCACTTGGGAGAAAGATCAGACCTGGGTCAATAAAAAGGCCAAGCAGTGATTACAAAGTTAGGACAGAAAACCAGGAACATATTTTATTTGGTTTGGGGGTCCTGGTGAAGAGGTTTGAGGCAAAAATATAGAAGTTTGAAGTGACGAAAAGGCATGGGGACCACAACGTGCCCTCACCCTGCCTTCTTGGGGTCTCCCTCAGCTTCACTGCCATGGTCTCCACTCCTGAGAACCGCCAGACTTTCATCGCCTCGGTCATCAGATTCCTGCGGGAGCACGGGTTTGACGGGCTGGACTTGGACTGGGAGTACCCCGGCTCAAAGGGCAGCCCGCCTCAGGACAAGCATCTCTTCACCGTCCTGGTGCAGGTGGGGAGTGAATTCTTTAGCCTAAGAGGGTTCAAAGTCTATGCCAGCCAAGGAAAACCTGGTATTTCCCGAGTCAGACTAAACTGGAATTTAGAATTATAGAATCTTCACAGCACATAGATTCTTAGATATCATGTGTTCATCCAACAAACATTTAATCATGACAATAGCAACTATAACAACACATGTGCTATGTGCCAGGTATAATTCTACATGCTGTTTTAAAAACCATAACTCATTTCATCTTTACATATACTCTACGATATAGGTGCTATAAGTATGATAACATTTATTTCACAGCTGAGGCATTAAGGTACAGAGGGTTTAAGTAATTTGCCCAAGATCACCCAACTAGTAGGTATCATAACTCCCCAGGCAGCCTGACTACAGAGCCTATTGCTTCTAACCATACCCTAGGCTGCCTATTATGACTAAGCACCTACTCTATCCCAGTCGCTGGCTTAGATGCCAGGCTACAGACAAGTTGCAATCTTTGACTTGAAGGAACACCCAATCTGAAGTGGAAGACTAGAAAATCACCAACAGTAACAGTATACTCTGGTAAACGCCATGATAGGGGTCTTCAGAGTGCAAGAGTGCAAACGCAGCACAGAAAGAGGGTACCTAATTCTGTTCCGGGGCAGCATTAGGAAGCGCTTCCTAGAGTCAGTGATGCCAAACTCAGTCTTGAAAGACACTGGCATTAACCAGTTAAGTGAGGATGGGAACCGCACCAACAAAGACATAAATATGTGTGAGCAAGTGGGTGAGTGGTGGACTGTGAGGCTGTATAGAGAGCAAGAATCAGATCGATCTGATTGCATATCGTTAAGGAATTTGGACTTTCCCCTCAAGGCCATGAGATGGCTTTAAAGGATTTTTAAGTATTAGAAAGATATGACAACACGTGTGTTTTAGAAAGATTACTCTGGCTGTAACCATGAATTAGAAGGAGGTAGGGAGGCAGGGATAGAGCTAGGAGACTACGGCAGTAAATCAAGCAAGAGATGCAGGGGCTCAGCCAAGGCTCACACAGTGAAAACAGAAATGCAAGTGATATTAGGAGGGAAGAATCAGAAGGATCTGGAGGCCAGCTGGAAGTAGAAGAGAAAGAGAACTTACAGTTTTCTGACTTTGGACTAGTTTGGTTGTGGTGCTATTAACTAAGATGATAAATACCCAGAGGAAGAGTCGATTTGGGGTAACAAGATCTGATTAACTTGTGTTTGAACATGGTGAGTGTGAAAAATTTGTAGAACATCCTAAACGAATGCCCAGTAGACATTGGATGAACAGCAATTGGGAGTTCAAGACCAAGAACTTGACTTGATATACTGTACTGAAGTCAACAGCAAGGGGAGATGAATAAGAGATCACCAAGGAAAAGTGAAGGACTTGAGAAAAGCCAAGGTCTAAGGATTGTTTTAATTTACCCTCCCCCAAGACAGAAATTTTGTCTATATCATCCCATACACAAGGGCCTCAGCCAGCCTCTGAATGGTTTCATTGTTAAGTAATTCATTACTTAACTGTTGAACAACTTTAGTAATAGGAAGAACCTCGTCTTTCTTAGGGGAAACATGCCTTCGGTCATAATTTGTAACTTCTACTCATTGGCTTTAGCTCTGCCCACTGAAGTACCAGAATACAACTGCACCTTTTGCAATATTTTGGTTCAATATTTGATGACAGCTACAATTCCCTACCTATAATTTCTCTTCTTCCAGTTAAATAACCTACTTCCCTCAGTACCCAGGTGACAACTTTCAGAGCCGTACTTTGTTGGAACACTCTCTAGCACTCCCTCATAATGCAATCCTAAGCACCAAACCCAATATTCCAAAAGGCATTTGAGTCACACAAAATACAAGAGGTTGAACCTCTAGTACTGAATGGGAACCTATCACCTGGCTGTTACCACGTTCCCCATTGTCCACTTCACCATGTCATTTAATGGGATGTCAGGCTTGCAAAGTAGTTCATCTATTGGACAAAGGAAAGCAAAGTTCTATACTGCTAACAGCTGGGTATGATTTACCCCAGCAACTAAAACCTCAGAGTGTACTGAGGTAAGTGGGTTCTGATGGTAGTCAGAGCCCTGGGATCCAGTCATGACTTGGCTACTAACTTCCTTTGGAACTTCGGTAAAAATGTGTAACTTCTATGGATATTAGATAGCTATAAAAATTAACTATTATTTTTAATTCTGTCTACCTGATAAAAATGTTGAGAGACTTAAGACAAAATATGTAACAGCTCTTTGAAAAAGAAAAGCATTATGCGAACATGGATTTGTTATTATTTAAGGTGCTGTAATCAGATTCCTAGATGCCCTACTGTATTTGATAATTCTACAGGAAATGCGTGAAGCCTTTGAGCAGGAGGCCAAGCAGGTCAACAAGCCGAGGCTGATGGTCACCGCTGCGGTAGCTGGTGGCATTGCCAACATCCAGGCTGGCTACGAGATCCCCCAGCTGTCCCAGTGAGTGATCCCTTGTCCCACAACCCCTCTGTGTGCCATGTGTGTAAGAGACACTCATCCTTAGTCTGTCTTGCTGTTCAGGGGCCTTGTTGAGGAGGCTTTGGGAGTGATTTCTTTGCCTGCAGGGGCGAGGGAGGTGACCCTGAGAGATCACGGTAACTCCTTTACCTGGACTCCAGGTACCTGGACTACATCCATGTCATGACCTATGACCTCCATGGATCCTGGGAAAGCTACACAGGAGAAAACAGCCCCCTCTACAAATACCCAACTGACACCGGCAGCAACGCCTACCTCAATGTGGTGAGTCCCTACATGGGCACATATACAGACCAGGGATGGTGTCATATCACATGGGGATTTGGGGACACAGCAAACAGATTCTGCAAATGTCTTGCTTGTTATACCTGTCCTCCTACGTGGCTGATCAAATCTCAATTATAATTCTACCAAAATGTTTTTAAAAAATACTGAGTCCTCTGTTGTAAACATCAAACAATTTATGTGCTAGAACAGGGGTTTAACATAACTAAGCCGTGGGCCATCAGCCTGGGGTGGGGGGCGCCTCTCACTAACCAGCTGCCATTGCAGGATTACATCATGAACTACTGGAAGGACAATGGCGCCGCCATGGAGAAGCTCATCGTTGGATTCCCAACCTACGGACACACCTTCCTCCTGAGCAACCCCTCCAACCATGGGATCGGGGCTCCTACCACCGGTCCCGGCCCCGCTGGGCCCTACACCAGGCAGTCTGGGTTCTGGGCCTACTATGAGGTATGCTCCGGGAACTCTTAGAGAGAAGGGGGAAAGTGGCTTTCTCTAGGCCGGGGATTTAAGACTGTAAATAATTCGACTCTTCTTGGCTCACTTAAGTCACTGGTTCATTTTAGGAGACAAGATGAGCACTCCTGTTGCATGCTAGCCTGGATTCCAAAAGCAGAGAGAGTAGGGAAAAAGCATATCATCGATGAGATTATATCAATGTATAGACACTTCTTAATGCCTGCAAGGCCATCTTTGATTTAAGAGCTTCTCCCAAATGGGACACAGAATCAAAATCCTTCATGAACTGAGAAATGTGCTGATAGAGCTCTAGGCCTTTCTTTCCAAGGAGCTTTCCTGTGTCTCCTCTCTACCGCTCTCCCCCACACCCTATCTCCTCTTGCTACACAGCTTCCTCATCTCCTCTTAGATCTGTACCTTCCTGAAGAATGGAGCTACTGAGGTGTGGGAGGCTTCTCAAGACGTCCCCTACGCTTACAAAGGCAATGAGTGGCTTGGCTATGACAACACCAAGAGCTTCAGAATCAAGGTAGACTGTGCTGCCCGTCGGTTTGTTCCGTCCTGCAGCCCTAGGGCCCCAGGTTGGCCTTGATGTCTGCACGTCATTGGATTTCTCCCTAATTACCACAGGCTGAGTGGCTGAAGAAGAACAACTTTGGAGGCGCCATGATCTGGGCCATCGACCTGGATGACTTCACGGGCACTTTCTGTAACGAGGGCAGATTCCCCCTGACCACCACCCTGAAGGAGGCCCTGGGCCTGCAGAGTGGAAGTGAGTGACAGCTGGAGGATGCTCAGAGGTCTATAAAGGCTCCTCCTCCAACTCAGGACAGTTCTCACACCTGCCCCGCCCCCGCCCATTGTCTAGGTAGCCTCTTCCCATTTCACCTCCCAGCTCTTGAGAGGCAGGTGCTACAACCTTTCTCCACCCTGGAATTTCCATGTCAGAAATTTCATGCTCTCTCTCTTCTCGGCCTTTTGGCTGAGATCAAGTGTAGAAATGTCATGCTCTTATGGGAAACCAAGCCTACCTGTGTGGGTTTTCCAGGCCTGCCCAAAGTCTTAAAGGCGTAGCAAAACCTCAAAGAATTAGGCTGACCTCACAATATAATCACATGCTTCTCTATGATCCCCTATTAAGTCTCTTTCAGCTGCCTGGGGATATTTAACAAAAAATACTCAGCAGTGTTCTCATATTTCTGGTCTGTGATTCAGGAAAAGTACCAACTCCCTGAACTTTTCCCAGATTTTCTTTTAGAGCTTATTTGCTCAAGACCTGTATTCAGATCCTAGAAAAGTATTTTGCACATTTGGGTGCTAAGTACATTTGTTTTAAAGATTTTGGCATTGTAAGGGAAGAAAGAACTTTATAAATTAAAGATCCAGTCTGGCTGGAAATTACAGCTTTCCCTATTGCTGAGTATGGAGCTATTCTGTGATCTTTCCAGTTGTAGGGATCCAGAGCTAAAAGTACCCCACCCCTAGGTCTACTGGTCTCTGCACCTGCAGGCAAAGCTGGGAGCCTCTACTGGGTCCCTAGTGTGCTCTTATATTGTTCCAGGTTGCACGGCCCCTCCTCAGCCCATTACAACAGTAACTCCTCCAAGCAGCGGAAGCGGAAGTGGAAGCGGAAGTGGGTCTGGGAGTGGAGGCGGCAGCTCTGGGGGCACTGGCTTCTGTGCAGACAAAGCCGACGGCCTCTATCCCGTGGAGGGCAACAGAAATGCCTTCTGGCATTGCCTAAATGGCATCACATACCTGCAGAACTGCCAGGCTGGGCTTGTCTTTGACACCAGCTGTGACTGCTGCAACTGGCCCTGAACCTGACGTGTCTCCTTTCCCTCGGGCTCTGAACAGTCCCCTTTGTTTAGCTCATCTTGCTCCTACCTGAAGTTCTGCAATAAAATCCATTAGTCAAAACACGAGTGGCCTTGGCGTTCAGTGGTTTGGCTGGAAACCTCTCTAGTGAAGATGCAGGCTGTGCAGGGGGTGGAGGGGTGGCCGCGAGTGCATGAGGAAGAGGTGGAAACAGCCTGGGGCTCAGTCTGCCTGCCCTGATCAGCATGGAGGCTGCAGGCCATCAGAACGAAAGGCTTGAAGGTTTGGTGCTGGGATGGGATGAGGACATGAAGAAGGTAGTTCCATAGCCTGGTGGGTCCTCGGGAAGGCGCCAGTGTGATTCCATGAGACATGGGGGCACAGGCCTGCTTGGCTTGCTCAGACTGTAGAAGACCAGGGCGTTTTCTCATGGTCTGTTGGGTCCCAGACCTGGCCCAGCACCTCCTGGGTTGGCAGCTTTCGAAAGACCTTTGCTGAGGAGTAGACCCCTTTTAGGGTGTCTTCCCTGCCTGTGTGACCGTAGTGTCTCTTTCTCAGGGGGTTGGCCCCCCTCCTTGAACCCATAGTGAACCCATAGTGGCTGTCACCAGCTACTCTGCTGGGCTGCAGCATGCCCTCCCCTGGCTTGGCTGGTTGACTGGAGTGGACATCAGACTCCACAGGGCCAATCAGATGATCCCCCCTTGGGATCTGCAACTGGGGACAAAGACTGGTTGTCAGTCCCTGAGAGTGGCTGGCCGATAACAGGTCAGCTCAGGAGCTGTGGAGAGAGACTGACAGTGGATAGTGGCACTGCATGCAGAGCAAGGACACTAAAGGGGAAGCGCGGAGAATAAGCCACAACACCATGGAGAAAGAACATTCACCAACAGCTATCCAACTCGGTCCTGGCTCCTTGCGGAGGCCCAGGTGCCGTTCTGCCTGTGGGCTCAGTGAAACTCCCCGATAACCATATAACAAGTTCTTTGCTGCTTAAGATGGCTCAAGTTTCTTTTATTTGCAACTAAAAGAACTTTAAGTAATAGAAAAAAATGTAATGGGTCCTGCTTACTATGTGTCAAACACTGTTTGAAGTGTTTTACGTGTATTTATTTCCTTATTTCTCCCAGCAACCTTGTGAGGAAAAAACATTAATTCCAGGAAGCCGGGGCACAGGGGAACTACGTGGCCTGCCCACCGTCACTCAGCTGATAGATAAGCCACAGAGCCAGATCCAAAGCCAAGCAGGCTCCGGAGCTTGCGGTCCTAGTGACCGTGTTTTACTGCCTCCCTTGACGGACCCCCGTGTCCTTGTTGGGGGTGGCCATGTTGCAGCAGTAATGAGGCACACACATGCGTGCAGCTTTCTGGGTAATGACCATTCCTGGGCTGACAGTAGTGACTGAGTATGTATTACGTGCCGGTATCAGGTGTCCAAACTTTTGGCATCTCTGGGTCACACTGGAAGAAGATGAGCTGTCTTGGGCCACACAATAAATACACAAACACTAACGAAAACTGATGAGCCAAAAAAAGGTTTTTCAGTAAATTTACAGTTTTGTGTTAGGTCGCATTCACAGCCATCCTGGGCCATGTGCGGCCTGCAGGCCATGGGTTGGACACCCCTGTAGGCACTATAAAGACAGTGATCAAGTTCGGATTTTATTATTAAGTGAGTTGTGAAGCCATTAGAAGGGTGTGTCAGGGATGGAGTGGTGATGACAATTCAATGTGGATAAGAGGGGGCAGGAACAGAGTCATAGAACACAGAAAACAACGCTCATTGTGATGTATTGACTTCTGAGCATTCCCGTGACATGCCCTGGAGGTCAAAGACAAAGGTATGGTAGACTAGGGTCCTCCATGGGCAGGTGAAGGTGAGAGGCAGTAAAACTGAGGATTTTTATAAATGTAATTATAATAATAAAGCTTGGAGAAAAATAGGACATAGGAGTTTTGGGGAGTCATTTAGGAAGGAGCTTCCTGTTTAGGTCACTCCTAAGACAGATGGCAGAAAGCCATGTCACAATGACTTGAAAGGGGACTTCGCGGGTGGGGCTACTGCTTAGCTGCCAGTTTCAGTGACAGCCTTCATTTGCTTGGTTAAAGTCTGCTTATGAGAACTGGTGACTCATGGGGACTGGATATGAGAAAAAACAGATTTTTGAAAGCTCCTCTCAGAGAGAATCCTTGTCCAGACCTTCTTGGCAGTCTTCCGAGTTGATGCTACTCGATCAACGTAGGAACACAGAGGGCACCACAATGATGTCACGGGTCTCCCAGCCGTTCCTCTGGAACTTCACTCCTGGTAATCATGGTCTTGAACTCTAGCATGTTATGAAAACCCATTCCTTCTGTGTTGGAGTCTAACTGGGAAGAGGTGGGGTATGCACAAGATTATTTAAGGACCCTGATCTGGGTGGGGATGGGGAAGTGTTCGTCTCCCCGAGTTGTGAGCATTGATGGGGGTGGCCCTCACCCACACGCGAGGGCACCGTTTTTAAAATTTGCACACAGGTGCCCTTGGAGTTAGCTGTGGCCCTGGGCATGGAGGTGTGAGGTTGGGAGGGCATGGACTTTTATTAAATGCCAATTATAGGTCAGTCCCTTGTCATGAAAGATTTGTCCCGTGGGGTCTCCTAAACACTCATGGCAGCCTTAAGAGGCGAGAATGATTGGAACCATTTTATAGGTGAACCAGGGCTTAGGTAGGTTGAGTAACATCCACAAGGTCACATAGCTAGTAAAGGGCAGGCTAGGACCTATTGGGAGCCTGTTCTGAGTGGCATCAAAATCTGTGTCACTCTTCTACCCCCAGATGAGAGAGGCTGGCATTTAAGAAAGACTAGCAAGTGGGGTTCAGAAAATATACTTTCCTCTCTTCCAATCTGAGTATGTCCATCCTTCAGCAAAATCTGAATCAGGAGTTCTCTGGCCTATTCAGATCCACGTCCTGCTTAGACTAACAGATGGCTTTGTAACATTGTGAAACATCATTTTGTCATTATTTTATCCTAAAATCAAATTCACGGATAACATAACCTACCATACATCACTTCATAAACAATACAATGCCGTAATTTTAATGTAAAAGAGAAAAAATTCCTAATAAAATAATGTATATAAATGCTCAGATATGGCTACTTTAGAAGACAAAGAAGTTTCTGATAGTTAGGCTCTTGCACTCTGTAATGACTAATGAATAAGTCTAGAATTAACAGAGAAGGTTAAATGTTATTTCACACAAGCATTGCAGGAAAATAAAAGAGCAGAATTATAAGCAGACACTGGAATTTGTGTTAGTTGGATTACTAACACCCCATACTTACTTGTTTCTAATAACGGAGAAAGGCCAATAGCTATAGTTAAAGTAGGGATAACAGTCGACCAATTACGAACCATTGAATTAAAAAAGGGAAAGGGGTGAGACTATGCTAATCTTTAAAAATAAATAATGTTAATGTGCTTCCTCTAGGGTGGCCAGACTTTTTAAAAATAAACTATTTTATGGATTTTTCATATATACCAAAAAAGGCCCACATAATAACTAGACAGGGAAATGATATACACAGGTTGAATTCACAGGTATACGCAGCCAGTGCCCAGTTCACGGAATGGGGCATCATCATCACTTCAAAAGCTCTTCTCATGTCCCGTCTCGGTGTCTCTCCCTCCTTGACATAACTGTCGCCTTCCTAACTTCCAGCCCATAGACAGTTTTGCCTATTTTTGAACTTTATGTAAACTTAGTGCATAAAGATTCATGTCTGAATTGTTTCTTTCAACATTGTGAGATTAATCTATATTACTACACATGCAGGATTTTAGTTATTTTCATTGCTGCATAGTATGCCTTCGTATGAATATCACAAAACTTATTTTTCCATTCTACTATTAATGGACAACTGGTTGTTCCAGGTTGAGACTATTATGGATAATGTTGCTTTCAATATTCTGGTAAATGTCTTCCTGGGCACAGATATATGCATTCCTGCTGAGTAAAAATACCATAGAGTAGAAATTATTGATTATAGGCAGGTCGATATTAAGCTTCAGTAAATACGACCAGTTTTCCCAAGTGAATGTGTCAATTTATATTGAAAGTGTAGTCAAGTTTTCCAGTTGTTTGACATCCTTAGCAGCAATAAGTGTTACCTGTATTTATAATTTTAGCCATCTGTTGGGTGTTTTACTGTGGTTTTAATTTGCATTCCTTTATGACTACTGAAGTTGAGCACTATTTATATGTTTACTGGCTATGTGCATATGTTATTTGGATAGTCATTTTTCTGAGGTGCATTTTTAAGTTTTTTTACCCACCTTTATTAGGTTGTCTTTTCTTACTAATCTGTAATAGTACTTTACATATTCTAGATCTGCACTATCCAACGGTGGGATGATGTAAACAATGTATTTTAAATTTTCTGATATCCACATTTAAAAAGAGGAGAAAGAAAAAAAGGGAAGTTAATTTTATTACTGTTTTATTTAACCCAATACATCCAGAATATTATCATTTTACGATTAGTAATATAAAACTTTTTAATGATATATTTTTTGCACTCTTGTTTCCATTCTGTCTTTAAAATCTGGTGTATACATGTCACACTTTATGCACATCTCATTTTGGACTCATCACATTTCAAGTGCTTAGTATGTGCATAGTGGCTACTGTGTTGGAAATTGCAGGTCTAAAGATGCTTTCCATGCTTATATCTTCCCCCAAACTGGGGCTTACTTTCTTACTCTCTTAATGGTATCTCTTCTTAAAAAAAATTATCACAATGAAACAGTTGCAAACATAAAGGAAAATTGCAAAACAGTACAAAGAATCCCATTATCTTCTTCACCCAAATTTCTCAATTGTTAAATGCTATTTCTCTCTCATGCCTCTACATATACTTTTTTCTGACAGAATGCCCCCATCCTGCCTAAAAACTCCAGTGTAACTCTCCCAGAGATTCTCTCCTACATTATGACCACACTACCCTACAAATCAGAAAATGAACATTGATATAACATTACCATTAAATTCACAGGCGCTATTCAAATTTTCCAACTATCCCAACAACAAATCTTTCCTAACTCATCCAGGATCCTATCCAGGAATATGTGTTGTATGAGATTGTCATGTTTCATCAAAATCCTTCAATCTAGAATAGTCCCTCAACTTCTCTCTCTCCTTCATATCCTTGATAATTTTTGTATACATATACTCACTTTCATTTTGCTGGTCTTCATATGAAATGTGGGTTCCATCCTTGTACCATTATTTCTTTAGCACTCGGAGAAACCATTCCATTGTCTCCTGGCTTCTATTGTTTCTGTTGGAAAGTCAACCATCAGCATATTTTTGCTTATTTAAAAGTAATACTCCTTTTGCTCTGGCTGATGTGTCTCAGTTGGTTGGAGCATCATTCCACAAACCAAAAGTTCACGAATTGATTCCCAGTCAGGGCACATGCCTAGATTGTGAACCCGTTACCAGTCAGGTCACATACAAGATACAACTGATGGATGTTTCTTTCTCACATTGATGTTTCTCTCTCACATTGATGTTTCTCTCCCTCTTTCTCTCCCTCCCTTCCCCTCTCTCTAAAATCAATAAGCATGTCCTCAGATGAAGAATAAATAAACAAACACGCCTTTTTAATCTGACTGATCTCAGAAATTTCTCCTTTTGATTTTCATTAGTTTTATTATAATATGACCAAGTAAAGTTTTCTTTGCACTTGTCTTACTTGAGCTTGTAGCATTTGTTAATCTCTGGTTCAACGTTTTTTTTTAAAAAAAAATCAATTCTAGATATTCTCAACCATTCTCTCTTAATTCTTGCATCTGCCACATTCTCTCGTTCCCCCTCCTTCCCTCCCTCTCTCTCCCCCTCTCTCTCCATTCTTTGAGGAATCCAAATACCTGTGTATTAGACCTTGTCATTGTTTCTCATCTGTCTGTTATGCTTTTTTTCCTGTATTTTCTGTCCACTTGCCTCTCCAAGCTTCAGTCTTGGTACATTTTTCACTTCCATTTTCCACTTCATTTATCCTTACTTTCTGCTTTTATAATTGCTGTTAAACACAAGCATTGAGTTAACGTCCGGTGATAACACTTTTTATTTCTACAATTTTTATCTGATTCTTTTTTTATTGCTTCTAAAATTCCCCACCTGGTCATTTAATTTCTGGAATCAGCTTTATCCCCTTTATGGAGCTGACTTATTATCATTTAATCTAATAAATTTTTAAATGAGACAAAAATCTGCTTAGAACATTATAGTAAAAGTTGAATCTACTTACCCTCATTCAATTTGACACTGCAACAGAGCAGGTGGTTTCCTGGAATAATTATTATAATGACCTCACAGTAGTCGAATAAGAAAAGCAGATAACTATCTCATAAAGCTTGACAGGCTGTCTCCATAAACATCAGGAATGATGTTATAACTATGATTACAAAATGTACATGATTGGAACTGATGAATTCTTTACTTAAGGACTTAATAAAAATTTTCACAATATCAAATTTTGTCTAAGTACTCTTCCATACTAAGCAGTCACTTGCATAGCTTTTCTTGTACATGATCATTCAAACATTGGATCCTTGGCAGTTCTTAGAGATACCTGAAATTCTGCCTTCATTTCTCAATGTTACCATTAGACAATGGGCTATACAGGAGATACACGTACCATATAGACAGTCCATCTTTGACTGGACCATGTTTGGACTGGCATTAATGAAAAGTTGACAAGTTTGCATCAGTCAGGATGCAGGTGTGCCCAGTGTGTGTTTTTATTAGTAACATGAACAAGAAGATGGATGAGCAAAAATTCTCTTTCCTTGGCTACACAGAGATCTTTACTAACTTTGCTTTTAGGGTCTATCTTTTTCTTTTAGCCTCTAACTTTAAAAGCCAAACATTTACTTCACGATCACCTATTTTTCTTGTTTTCTTTTGCTTCTTATGTTCACCCTGCAGTCTTGAGGCTTCCTCTAGAATCTCAAGCCAAGTACTATGGTTTTCAAGTCCGTGTTCGATAACTCCAAACGTCTGGATTTCCTTTGGGTTTATTTCTACTTTTTCTTGGTTGTTTTATATTGCATGAAAAATATTTTACATAAAAAAAGATATAGAAATTAGGAGAGACTCTGGATCACGTTCTATTAAGAGATGATATACTTTTGTTTGCGGTATGCAGGAAAGGTAGAAGCAGATCACCTTAATGCAATTAGAAACTGAGCTGATCAAAGCTGGACATCGAGTTGTTGAGGCTGGTCTATTTCATCCTTACCTTTATTCCTAGGGTTTTCTCTTCCCCAACTAAAAACCCAGGGTGCTTGCCAGTTGTCCCTCCTCCATGGTCAGCCTCATTTTTGCCCCCCAGCTTTCAGACACAGTTCAAAGTTCTGCCCAAACCTTCTGCTTCCCAGCTGGCTCTTTAATTAGCAAATGGTCAAAGGGAAGAGCAGCACCAACAGTTGTGTTCACGGTGTGGGGCTTGCCTGCTGTCTGGGGTCTCAGCCCTGCATGTTTTCCTTCTAGGTATATCTCTGACGTCTTCAAACATCTTATTTAGTCTAGCTTTTTTATCTCTTCTCAGCCAGAGGATTAGTTGGAACCAAACCAAAATACGCATGAGGGAATGGGCTGTCCTATTTTCCAAGTATTTTGCAAGATATGTTTCATGTCACTAATAACATAAACACTAATTTCTTTTTTAAAAATCATCACCCAACGATGTGTTTTATTGATTTTAGAGTGAGAGGAAGGGAGAGAAAGAGAAACATTGATGTGAGAGAGAACTACCTATTGGCTGACTCTCGTAGCTGCCCGACCGAGGATCAAACCCACAACCTAGGTGTGTGTCCTGATCGAGGACTGAGCCGGCAGCCTTTTGGTGTATGGGACGATGCTCCAACCAACTGAGCCACCCAGCCAGGACTGTAAGCACTAATTTCAAAAACACGATGGGTTCAAAACCATTAATTAAATATTAATTTTACTTAAAATATTAATAAAATTGAAAATCATCTATCAATGCCAAGATTTCTGTACATTTTACTTACCATCGGTATCACTGCAATTTGAGTACGCAGAATGCTTGGAGTAAATTCTTCCATAGCTTTGAGATCACATCTTTGTTTCTCATGACAACCTTCTCCTAGATTACCGGGCTTTCTGCATTATTTCTTACTAAAAACCATTTTCAATGTTATTACATATGTCAAGTACAACCAATTATTTTTGTAGAGTACAACAGGACATCAGTATGTTGCGTAGCACATGACACAATGCACTGCCAGGTGTGTGGCTTCCCATTGAGCAGGGGCATCCTTCCAATACTTTTTAACAAGTAAAACGCTTCCACAAGTGTCCAAAATGCCCTCCAGGACTCAGTATCACCTTTTATCTTTTTTTTTTTTTTTTTTTTAGAAACCCTACAATAGATGTAAAATACCATTCCCTGCACATAGTGCTAGCCCAGGGTGCGTGTGGATCCCAGCATCATTGTTCAGGGCCAAAGGGTTTTACGGACCAGTCCACATCCTGTGTTCTGTTGCCTCCCACACCTGACAATCCCTAAAGCCATCCTCAAATCAAGCGCAGACAAGGTAGTGATAATATCCAGGTCGAAGGAGAAGAAGCCGACACACACCCTGTCGCTTTTCCTTGGGTTAGGATGGAAGTGTTCCCGAGCTGGCTGATGATAGTTTCTTCAGTAATAATAACCGGTCACATCATCGCTTGGCCAGTACCAGGCACTGAACTGCTTTAATCCCGTTATCCTAATTCTCTCAACAACCCTAGAAGGAGGCATTGCTATTCCCAATGTAGAGAGGAGAAAACTGGGACTTAGACATTTAAGGGACTGTCCAAGATTTTAAAATTATTAAGCTTTTCTGTTATTCTGTTGCATTCTTACTGCTCCACTTAAGGCTTCCAGCCCTGTTAAAACTTTGTGCCCCGTTTAGAGGGACAAAGGGACAACGTGGTGGGAAAGGCTTGAGGAAAAGGAAAACTAGGTCTAAGAGGTCCCTGTTACGGAACTATCTAAGCTCCAGTTCCCCCTGTTCTGGTCGTTGTCCTAGCAAGCACGTCCCTAAGCCATTAACTCCAGCGGCTGCGTTTCCCTAATGCTGATCCTAGCAGCTCAAAGGAATGCTCTCCTCAGCGCATTCCCGGTGGCCCAGTTTCTAAAGCCCCTCGGCGTACCCTTCATCTCCGCAGCCCCTAAAGCCATGGGTCCAGCAAAGCCACAAACCTCAACCCAGCCGCAGAACCCACAAACCCCTGGGCTCGGGGTCGGGGAGGTGCGGATTCCCACCCCAAAGGCAATTTCTCGGGCGTCCCCACTTGCTGCGCAGGCGCTCTCGCTCGGAGCCAATCGGAGCAGGTGCCTGCCGGTTGCGCCTCCGTTCCCTTGGTAACGCACTACACAAACGCTAACCCGCACAGTACTCACCATGATCTTCAACCGAGCGGGTAAGGAGGGTTGAGGTAGAGGGGTCAACAGTAGAAGGCCGGAGGAAGACAGGGGAGGCAGGGAAAGATGGAGCGGAGGCGATGCAGCGGTCGGCTCCCCTGCGTGGAGCTTGATCTGGTTTCTGTAAAGCGCTCCGCGAAGCCGCGCCCGCTGCGCAGCGCCCCCGGCCCGCCCCGCAGCTCTCACTGAGATCCGAGGGCCTTCCCTCACGAGGAGTTTCTGCCCTCTCTTGACCTTCAGAAACACTGGTTAACTACTCCTTTGGGACACGTCAACAGAGGAAGATCTTTCCTCACTACCATCCCCCCAACTTTTTGGGAAACAAGTTCCTCCCCCTTAGGGGAGCACCCCACAGAGGGCCCGGGTGTTACACAGGAGAAAATGTGAGTATTCACCATCCCTTAGGTGGGTCTCCATTCCCCCTCTATTTAAAGACAGCCAGGTTTCATGGACAAAAAAAATGCAGTTTGTGATCTTCAGGGTCCCAGCATGAGAAAGCGCCCTTGTTCTCTGCACCCAGCAGCTGCCAGGGTCAAGGTCAGAAATTAAAGGATCATGGCTCCCCTCTTCCAACTCCCGCCGAACGCGAGCCTTTGCTTCATAGAGTTACCGGGAGAGTCCCCCTCCATTCCCACCTCCTAAGACTTGAGGCCCAATCAATGCCAGTCTCCCTCCCATCAGTCCAAGCATAGATTGTGGATGTGCTGATAGGTGAGTTTATGAAATCATCTGATCAAACACACCTGCATTAGTGCAAATTAGGCTCTGTGCCTCCGAGGACTGGACTCACTGGAAGGCATAGAAATGTCACTTACTCTCCCTACCCAGGCACGTTCCTTTGCCAAGTTACCCGTTACTTATGTAATTGTTCCCATGTGCTTGACTCAGAGAAGTCTACAGAGAGCAACTTTTGCAGAGAAGATTCAGATAAGAACATCCTAAGTTCACTCTGTTTTGATGACCATAACATTCTCTGTGTTTTTCTTTCTTCTTTCTTTTTAATATATTCTACCCAAAGAGGTATGACTGGGTATACAACCTCTCTAAGATCCCGACCAGCAGAAAAGGATACACTTTGGGAGCCAGAACAGCCGTGAGGTTTAAGCCAATCAACAAGGTTAGAAATGGCTGTGTGTGCTTAAGTTTTCGTGCGATCCATGGTGTTGCATGTATTTGCATCGGGGAGCACAGGGCAGAGAGTGGGAGGTTACCTACACAGTATGCTCTGAAATTCAAGAAAAATAGACATTTAGGCAAAAGCTATTAAGCCTATCTGAAAAGCTTGGGCGTTAGCGTTGCAACTCTGTGTGTGTGTCCTGGGAGTGGGGAACAGTTCTCCGAAGAAGGGGTACCAAATCAGAGCTTCCATGCTGACTCACACACCTGATGTTCGAATACTGGGAGCTTCTTTTTATATGCACCTGATTATCTTGTCAGTTAAAAAAACAAATTCTAGCTTTTCCATCCTTTTGTGTGATTAGATTTCAAGTCTAAAATTCTTCAGTGTAGCGCCCTAATTTCTAGGATATTTTCCTGACAGTTAAGCTGAAAGAGGGGGATACTAACTCTTAAAAAAAAAGTCTCTGGGTGGGGTGGTGGGGGTAGTAGCTGTGAGAAGCTACTACAGTTCTCTGCCCAGCCTAGACTGACTTCTACAACTAAGCATGATGCACCTTCAGGCAACTGAACCACACCTACCTTGGTTCTTGGTTTTCTACCTATCATAGGCCTCTTTCTGTAGCTTGAGGTGGTTAAACCATAACTGCTGCATGAACAGGAAGAGGATGATTCTGGTTCTTGTCTACTTAGAAGGCTTTCTATGTACATGTGTGTCACCCTCTAATATATTGATCTTTTTCTTGGATACAGGACATGACACCTCACCCAGGCATGTACCAGACAGTAAATCTTCAGGAGCAAAACCCCAAACAAAATTTTGCTCCGTTTAACGTCATGTTGCCTCGATTTGAGACATACTTAAAGGACACATATTATCCTGGGTACGTCTCCTCTCTTCTGGGGCACTTCAGTGCAGGGCAATAGGAAAGGAATGGCAAAGAAGGGGTTACCTCCAAACCATGCCAGCCAAATAGACACTTATCTTTAAGATTCGACCTCTTGCCTTGCAGATCTCTGGCATCATAGAAGTGTTAATTCGCTTAATAAATATTTATAAATCTGGCAGACAGTTTTGTAGGTTCCAGAGATTTTGCATTAAACCCATGACACAAGGCTCCTGATTTCTTGGAGCTTACATTCTAGAATCCAGACAGTTGAGAAACAAATAAACAAGGAAATATCAATAGTAATAAAGAGAGTGGCCATAAAATTTATTAGCCTCAACTGACACATCCAAGAGTTGATGACAGCCTTATTAATAATTAATAATATTAATATTATTAGACTATAGCCATAAACTAGGACTGTCACCAGCAAACCAGGAAGAATGGTGGCCGGGGGACATGCGATGAGGAAAACAGAACAGGGTGATGATATGATACAGAAGGGTAGACTGGAGGCTACTCTGTCAAGGTTTGCCAAGAGGGCTCTTTCTGGGAAAATGACACTTGACCTGAAATGAGAAGGATTAGACTGAGCCAGCCCTGGGAAATCTGGACCCAGGGACAGCTGTGGTACTGACGGGGTTCGCACGCGGTCACGAACGCAGAGACCTGACGTTACATATTTTTATTTCTAGCCCTGGCACGTATCACACAGAGATAAAGCCATGCCCAAAAGTCACCTGGCCAATGAAATTTGGATCTCCAGACTGGGCTCAGGTTCCATGTCTACGGAAAAGAACCCTAAAAGCTGAGGTAATAAGACTGAGCTTCTGTAGAACACTCTCTGGTCCTTGCATAGGGGTTCCTAGCTGGAGGTCTGTGAATCAGCTTTAGAAAGTCTTTGTTCCCCTGAAATTACATACACAATTTTGTGTGTATATGTATATGGAGGCCTGAGGGGGAGGAAGTTGCATAATTTTATTAGATTTTTAAAGGTATGCATGACTGCACAAAAGTTACATTTCTAAATTTAATCCTCAAATAATCTGTGGTATGTACAGGAGAATTATATGATAGAGGAGGAATTGAGACTCAGATGAATTACGTGACTTGTGCAGGCTGCACAGCATGAATTCAGATCTCTTGACTCCTTAGCCATGGCTCTTTCTGTCTCCAGGGAGCTGTAGAGCATCCTGGTAAGAGCATGGGTTCTGGGGACAGGCTGCCTGGGTTCAAATCCCAGCTCCCATACTTACTTGCTGTGTGATCTTGGACAAGTCCCTTAATTTTTCTAAGCCTTAGTTTCCTTATCTTTAAAATAAGTATAATAATAAAATCCATCTGATAAGGCTGTAAAGATTGAAATAAGGTAGAAAAGCATTCAACACAGTACCTATAACATAATAATTGCTCAATCCGTGTTAGCTGTCATAATCGTGGAGGTGCCTTTAATTTCCTAGTGGAATTTTGGATTAAGTTCACAAATATTAAGTGCTTGCTGTACTGGTACCATTGTGCTAGGGCCTAGAGGTAATACTCAAGATTAAACACATCATCTTTGCTTTCAAGGTGCTTACCCGCTTACTCTTAGAGATTGACCAAATAAAACATAATTCTTGGCATGATAGACACCAGCGTAAGGCGACAAAGAGTCGACACACAGACAAAAGTTGAGAGGATCGCTAAGGCCAGATGGCTGCGGGGTGGGGTTTAGCTGGTCATACCACCGCAACGGGCCGTTCTATTTTGCTCGGCCAGGAAGACCAGCGACAGGGGGTTCTCATCAGAATTTGGTCTGAGACAACATTCTTTCATTGCAGCTGCCCACTGACAAGGACTTCAGAAAGCACCGGAACCGTATGGCCTACTTGAGCCTGTTTTACAACTGAGGAGCTGGGAGTTCCTTCGTGTGCTCCTCCCGACCACAGAGTCCCCTGGACGGAGGACAGATCTGCTCTTCCGCCTCTGCAGAGCTGTGGTCCTCTCGTCGGCCAGCATGGGGCCCAGGGAGGGGCAAGGGGCACGTAACCACATGTGAGAGCATAAAGACCGTTTCAGAATGTGCTGTCCCCATGTGCTGGTTTGTGGCATACGTAACGTGGATGGGTCTGGGGTTCCTATTGGGTGGCCAACACTGCTAATCACTCATCTGTCAGTCTCTGAATTTTCAGCACTGGATTTGACTAAATGCAATCAATTCAAGTTAAACAGAAAATCGAATTATTTGTATCCCAAGGTTAGACTATTGACATCCTCCTGCCGTTGACACAGATATGATAGAATTGAGTTTGGCTTTGGGGCTATAGGAGAGATGGTGTCATATACTTCAAAACCCCAAAAGGAAATTCAGATTGATGGTTTTTTTAAGTGAAAACTGTTCGACAGCCATCAGCCTGCCTTTCCCCAGGCTGCTGATGCCCGGAGCTGGGAGAAGCCAGGGTACGGGATCTCAATAGCAGAAGGGTAGCAAGATGGCTTGGAGAATGAAAGGATTTTCCCCAGTGCATCTTCAACCCAAATGAGCCTTGGTGTAGTGAGCCCAGAAGCCAGCCTCACGCGTGTTAGGGCCAGGTGACCCTGCCCCAGAGAGTAGTGCACAGGGCTGAGGGGCCAGGAGTGCAAGGACAGCCGGAAAGTCCTCCCGCAAAAGGGGAGCCCCATGATGAGCCTCTCGGCAGGACCCCGGGACCCCGACGTCTCCCCAGCACTTCATGGCATGTGCCCAAAGAAAGCAACACAGGCCTTATTTCTCACCAGAGTTTGTCCCGTTTGATTAGCAAAGTCTCGCTAATTATCCCCTGAGGACAAAGCCTCTTGCCCAACAATCCAGGCTCTCCCGAATCTCCCCTCTTCTTATGATTTGAGACTATTCTTTCTCACACAATCAAAATAATGCATGCTGCCTTGTTCCTTGGGTCCTACATGCAGGGGACTGTTGTGTCCCAGCCGCCATGGAAGTCCTAGGCCATTGCGTTGATGAAACCAAGGAGCATGAAACAGAGATTCCGACCCATCCGGATCCTGGGGAGCATTTTCTCATAGATGACTTAAGAGTAAGAATTGGTAGCAGTGGAAAACCTGTAATGCCAAGTCGATATCCACACGGCCCCACTGGTCTGGCTTCCTGGGGGGCCCCAGGGAGCCGGTTATCTTCTGTGGCCCTCGTAGGGCTACACAGGGAGTCCCCTTTACCTCCTTGGGGGTAAAAAAAAACAAAACAAAACAGGGCAAAGCCAGAGCTGAAGGTTAGGGCATGTGGGTTCCAAGTGCCTATGTCTAAGAAACATCTCCAGGGCCCTGGGAACCACAGGTGGGTAGCTCTCCTATTGCTTAACCGATAGTAGCTTTCCTGATTTTACAGCTTTTTGCAAATGGGGATTGCTGTTACAAGGATCTGCCATGGTCTTAAATTGTGTTCCTCTTCTCCACAAAGGCCACCACAGTGACAATTTAAAGAGGCTGCCACCCTGCCCTGGATGGGTGGCTCAGTTGATTGGAGCGTTGTCCCGTGCATCAAAAGGTTGTGGGTTTGATCGCTGGTCAGAGTGCATACGGGAAGCAACTGACTGATGTTTCTCTCTCTCTCCCTCCCCCTTCCTCTCTCTAAAATGAATAAATATATCTTCAAGTGAGGATTTAAAAAACAATAAAAAAAGAAAGAGGCCACCAGAGCCACTATGTCCCCAAACCTCTTCATCAAGCAGTGAAGGTATCAACTCTCTCAACATGTGTACATAACCACGTGGGATATAGTCCACTAAAAAGTTGAGGAATCTGCTCTAGGGTGAGGGTCCAAGAGATCCTGTGAATTCTTTCCTGTCTGCAACTTCATGTCCTGTGTCAATGGTCCTTTTGCCAGCAAACAAAGCTGCTATAATCAGCATCCTGTGTTTTTTAGCCTCTTCAAAAACTTCTCACATTTCCTGGAGAGAGAAAAGAGGGTGGATTTTAGTGGCTGCCCTCATTATACATTTCCTACAGTAAGTACCTCTTGGGCTGGTTTCCAGCTCAGAGCAATTCCCTCATTTCCGGAAATAGCCCCTGAAATAAAAGCATGGGTCCTGGTAGGGTATAACTTGGAACAAAGAGATGCAGAGGCTAGGAATCTTTGAATCCAAGTCACATTTAATGACAATTCTAGAGAGCGAGCCCCGGAATTCCTGGCAGAGAGTCTAGGAGCTGTCTTGCCTATGGTGACCTCACCCTCCATCTCGGAGCTCTAGCATCGCATTTTTGCATAGCCACACCCAGCTCCTTCCTGTCTCCAGGCCTTTGCTAATGGGGTTACCATTTCCTTAGAAAATTATTCTTATCCTTTGTATGCATGGTTTCCTTTAATACTTTATCATAGTTCAAATGCCATTTCTTCTCAAAAGACTCCCCTGAGCATCCTATGTGCTGACATCATTGCTCTTACCACCATGTGCAATTATTTAATGTTTTCATGGTTTGCTCCTTACCCTTTCTCTCCCTTCCCCTTCCTGCTTTTCCTATCTTCCCTTCCCTTTCTCTCTCCCTTAATTTCTTCTCTGTGTCCTCCACACAGCTTTAAACCCCACAAGAGCAGGGATCACATTTGTCTTGTTTGCTGCTCTAGCTCCTGTGTAAAGCACACATCTGGCTCCCAGTAGCTGCTCAATAAATACGGAATAAATAATGAATGATTCCACCTTCTCAATTCAAGAATCTCTTCCTTGGGATCCTTCTGGTACCTATATCCTTCCAATAATTTATTTTGGGGCTTAAGCCAGACAGAGGGTCTGTTTCTGTTGCTTGCAACCCCAAACACCTTAACCAATATACATTCCCAGGAAATGCAACTCCCATAGAAAGCCCACTAAGGCACCAACTTCACCACAAGAAGACCCAGAGCTAGTGCTCCATTCCCACCTTAACCAAGATGGCGAACCGCTGTTTGTTCTCAGGTGGGCTTCCCTGGGCCCTTGGACAGTCCAAATTCAGGCAATGCCATCAAATCCATGTCGATGAAGGAGGTCAATGACAACATGGAGAATTTGTGGTTGGCATGTGGGGAGACCATGGTGATGAATTAGGCCGGGGTTCCAGGAATCCCTCGTCACATCACCTCTGGTAACAATTTTCATTATGCATTTCATAGTAATCCCTGTTGAATTTTTATAGTCAAGACAAACTCAAAGATGTTCATGTTAATCGATAGGTAAGTGTTCTTAATTGAAACTTGTTTTCCTTCAGTAAACCCACTGAGTAGTTTTTTTCTATTTAGTCATAAGATCAAAGGTCCATTTTCTTTATCAGTTGGAACTTGCAGAGCCAGTGGTTCAGATACTCTATTTTTTTTTATTCTAAGATGTTCATTCTTTATGTTTACTGTTTCCAAAAGTTAAGATGTGATTTATAATATGTGAACACATTTAATAATAAAGTACTTCTGACACCCAAAGAATGTACTATTAAATATATTCTGAATTGGTGTCCTTAAAATGTTTCTAGCAGTGCATGGAGGTGGTAAAACTCTCCTTTGATCTATATTTTGTTTAATTCCTCAGTGTATGTTGTAGTTTGTGGGTGGAGAGGCCTTGCCCACCTCTCATTAGATAGAATTCTATTTCATGGGATTTAATGTTTGGCTCCCAAGGTTTTCATTGTGGGGCACATGTCTCTAGTGCTCTTCCTCCCGCCCCCATTAATTTCCACTTGCTTTTCTTTCTGCTTCAGTTTTGGTGTTTTTTGTATTTCCTGAATTTTTAGTCTCTGATATATCTAATACATATATCTGTGTATATATTCTAATATGCCACGATGAGCCTTTTCAATGGATTTGTGAGTCTTTTTCATATGAATTACATTGACTATGTGCACAGTTGCTATTGTTACCTTATGTTAAAAGTAAAACTGCTGCAGTTAAAAGGGAAGGAGGATTTGGTAGTACTGACAATGAGGTTTGGTGGCAAACATTTTGGGGTCAACACCCTCAATTGGCAGTGGCTATAAATGGACAGTCTTTTGTAGGACTATTAGATACTGGAGCAGATGTTTCTATTATATCCATGAAACAATGGCCTAAAGCAGAAGTACCAGCTACTTTTACTGGAATTGGATCTTTGAACACTGTCTATCAGAGTGTAAATACCTTTGAATGCTTAGGCCCTGAAGGACCAAAGGGATATCTTAAACCCTATGTGGCCTCCATTGCAGTTAATTTATGGGGCCGAGATTTACTTAGCCAGTGGGGAGCGTCTCTTCAAATTCCTTCCATATGTAAAGAACAGAGACAATTACTGAGTGTAAATTCAAATCCTTTTTATTAAGGGCCATTGTTCTACCCATACTGGCTTATTAGTTAACCATGTTAATAGCAGGGCGAAGCTTTGAACAATGGCCCTAATAAAAAGGATTTGGAACAAGCTGTTACTATGTTAGGAGGTCAAATTGTTAGTTTTCAAAGGCAAATTCATTTGAAATGCAATTGGAATGTTTCCTCATTTTGTGTAACTCTTATCCCTTGGAATCAAACCCAGTTCCCATGGGACAATATCAAAAAACATCTCCTCCATCATTCTAATGTAACCGATGAAATAGTACAAAAGCACATTGAAGAAACTTTTGAAGAGCAGCTTAAACTCATTTCGGGGGATGATTTGTTGCAGGGAATCGCAGATGGCATAAAAAATATAAATCCTTTCAATGGCTTTAGGGCTCTGGGAAGGAGTACTGCAGTTGTTTTTTGTTGTTGCTTAATTGCATTGTTTATTCTTTGCCTAGTCTGGTGCCAGGGGCAACGAGACCACCAACACTACCAACATCCAACGGCCATCTTCACCGTGATGTTGCACAGACTGCAGGACCAAAAACCAAAAGGGAGAAATTCGGAAGATGGATGCATCTAGCCAAGGGGGTTGCCTGCATGGAAAAGCTT